AATGTTGAAAGTGGATGTTTGAATGGCCATTAGATTGAGTGCAAAAAGGATGGAACATGACATACTCTTCATTCTTTAAGCCTCTCATTGCTGTTAGATCAGGAGAGATAGTTGAAAAACCATTTGTGTTTAGTAACTAACTTACAAATATATATTTCATCTTATTGCCGTAGCTTTTGTAAATTTTTTTGTGGTCTAAAGGAATGTATGCTTGCACACACTGCATTGGGGAGGGTCTTTAATTGCTTTACTAAAACTCCGTGCTGAAGTGCTGAGATGCTAGGAAAACTTTTTGTCTGTATAAGGAAAGTTTTGTTTTCCGTTTATATTTCTCATGCAACAAAGTAGAATAACCACGTGCTTTTCAAGATTTAGCTAATTTTATATGATCTGAAAACTCATGATATATATTTGATCAGTTTCTTTGTCTGTGATATTTTTCTCCCACTTACACAATAGTAACATTTGCATTGAAGATGTGAGTGTGAATGTTTGTGCATCAGCATTTGCAGTTTGTTTTGCTGAGTAGGGAAATTTTTGATGAATTCATCATCATAGAATGTTCAGTCATAATCAACCAGCTTTTCTAACTGATTTGTTGTAATTTCAATCATCTTTGATTCTCTCTTGCATCTTGTGATACCAGAAAATAATTGTTTTTATTTACCTATATTTTTATTACAGGTTAGTCATGTATAGTAAATATTCTGTTTTAAGTAGTATGTTGGGCAGATTAAGGGGGACCATCCCTAAGCATAGGTGGAGATAGTTGGGGGGGGGGGGGGAGTAGGCTTAGAGTGGCCAAAAATAAGTTATACCTAGTTTCAGAATAGTATACGAGCATAGAATTACCCTAACGAACATAAACTCTTTGCCTTAGAGGAGCGAATATAATGATAAAGAGGTTTAAGACAAGAAACAACTTATTTTATATAACTGTCATGTTGTCTTGGGTTTGGATTCACCCATTTTCATTGGAGTCATTTATTTCTGTAACTTGGAGACTAATTATCAATAAAATACATTTGAAAAGAGAAATGATAGTAGTTTCAACAGTAAATAGATGATAAATATTTGTAAATAAAAAGTTACAGAAAATGAACTTCAAATATCAAACTTTTTAATTCTTTTATTCTTTCTTTTTTAAATTCTTTACTACTTGAATTTTTAAATGTATTTTTATAGACCTTTTAAAAATCTGCAGAGAATTATGCTATCTTTTTTAAAATTGAATTTTTGAAAATTGAAAAGAGGGTTCAAATTTATTTATTTAAAGGAAAACCGAAGTGAACTGAAAAACGACGTAGTCCTCTTGGGAATTCATTGATGTTTTTTCAGTTTTTTATTTTTCCAAACCTTAATTGATAATCCACTGGGATGAGAGATTTTTTTTTTTTTTTTTTTTTTTTCAAGTTTTTATTATTATTGATGGGTACGTCTTCTCCCATGTGGGTATCTTTTTTATTTATGAAAATATATTGATTTGACCCCCCCCCCCACCCAAAAAAAAAACTTCCCCTCCACCCCTATTTAGGGATGGTTCTCTTAAGCTAGGGCAATAGGGAGTTCTAGGGAGAAAGTGGGATATAAAGATAGAGTAGGGAAGGATACGGGAGAGAATGAGAAAGGAGAAGTAAAAGCATTGTTGGTTTTCTTTTTTTTTTTTTTTTTTAAAGAGTAGGGAAGGATACGGGAGAGAATGAGAAAAGAGAAGTAAAAGCATTGTTGGTTTTCTTTTTTTTTTTTTAAATTCTGTAACCACATTTTTGTCTATGCAGGTATCATGCATGATTGGTGTATTTAAAAGTTGTAATTGGTATACCCTTATGGATATTTCTAAACTCTGTCTGGGATTATAAAAAGGCCTTGGAGAACGTCTTGATAATCAGTTTGGTAAGAGTTGACTTTCCTACTTTCTGTAGAACAGGAAACAGCTTGATGTAGATATTCTGATATTCAGTGAGCAATTGCAACTGTAGCCAGTAAAGACCTTTTGTGTGTACATGAGTGCGGGAAATGTTTTAATAAACAGATGATTTAGAAGAGAGTGTAAAAGGCCATCCCAGAAAGGGTTATGAATATTCCTGTAATTACAAGGTATACTTCTCACTGTTTGTGATAAAACTTATTAAAATAGGTTCACTAGTGGGAAATCCTTCACACTTTTCCTTGAGTACCTTTATTCTTCTTTGTATATTTGCATACACATACTCACTGTCTCTCTCTCTCTCTCTCTCTCTCTCTCTCTCTCTCTCTCTCTCTCTCTCTCTCTCTCTCTCTCTCTCTCTCTCTCTCTCTCTCTCTCTCTCCCTCCCTCCCTCCCTTCCTCTCTCTCTCCCTCTCCCTCTCCCTCTCCCTCTCCCTCTCCCTCTCCCTCTCCCTCTCTCTCTCTCTCTCTCTCTCTCTCTCTCTCCCTCTCCCTCTCCCTCTCCCTCTCCCTCTCCCTCTCCCTCTCCCTCCCTCCCTCCCTCTCTCTCTCTCTCTCCCTCTCCCTCTCCCT